ACTCCCCCCCCCCAAGAGTACGTTAGTTAGTTGCTGGCAGTCATTCGATGGCTTAGAACAGCATAGCACTGTTCACGCAGCTACAGTATGCAGAGTATACCTTGCTCGCACGCGGTTGGTGGTTTACTTCTTACAGCTACAAACAATCGTTGTTGAAATAATCCTAGGAGGTAGCTCACCGTTCAATTACGTACTGTTTCTGTGACAGAGTTCATCTGCATCTCCGGCCATGAAGCTCGTCGGTGATGTGTTTGTAGCCGTTTCCAATGCAGTTTCTCACGTGGATTCGATGCTACTCTGTGGAAGTGGACCTCTGCACAGGCGATAGGTGTGTTGTAAAGGTCGCCGAGGATACGCAGTCACAGGAGTCGTCGTTCATTGAGGTGTACGTGGAACATACCGCCACTGTCACGCAATGGGTACATAACCCTGAGGAAGCGGAACAGGACGCTACGGTCCTTACTGCCGGTGGTGAGATGTGGTGTGATCGCCTGTTCGCGAACTATGACCATGGAGGTAAGCAAGTTGGCTTGTGCCGAGCCACGTATTATATGATTGTACTCGCTACAGCTGACTTTACTTGTGCTTATTGATCATAGTAGACAAAATGACTTCGCATAAACATCATAAGCTGTTCAGTACGCCGGAGTACGTTTAATAATGAATAACTCGTTCAAGACCAGATTTCACTTCCTTGCTCCCAGGTGCCTGGAGGCGACGGCTCCATCGTATTTCAGACATAATAGCTTCAGACAAAACAAAGAAACCTAATAGTGACGGCCGCTGAAAACTAAACGACTTTGAACTAAATATTTATTGACATTACCAATTTCTAATTTTATATATTAGTTTACAACTTTCCACGGCTGGTCACGACGCTATCCTCTTAGGGATGGGCAGCAGGTCAGCAGAAAGAATATCGACACAATGTATTAAATATATACAAAGTGAACAGCCATGCAAAATTGTAATTTCTCCTCATAAGACGATGGAAAACATCTTCGAATACATTTTCATATATCACTCGGAGCTAATGTCATTTCTGAAGACCAGTTTTCAACTCATCTGCTGTCATATTAGTACAATCGATTTAAAGACTGAAAGAGCGAGCGACCGGCCGCCAAACAGACAGAATCATTGACTGTCAGGACTTTAACTTATACCAATATTAAACCGGCCAGCAATAAGCGATTGGAAGTCAAC